GGGTCGCCGGGTTCACAGCGCTAACCGCTACACTGCCTCTCCCCACACACACAGACACACACACAGACACACACACGCAGACACACACACGCACACACACACAGACACACACAGACACACTCCGACAGGCGCGTGTTAACGTCTCCCTACGCCGATAACACCCGATTGAAGTCTGCGGACAATGTTGCCAATTTAATGGGCTTCATAATTCCCCTATGGCTGTGATCATGAGCCGAGGGAAGGAAAAAAAAACACAAACCCTCGCGTGGGGTTTTACACGAATGCCGGCCGAGCGCTGCTCGCGACGTGCGGGCATGCAGGGGTGGAGGGTGGGAGGGAGGTTTGCGCCTGTTCGCGACATCACGGACGTCGCGACACCCCCGTGTAAACACGCGCCCACCGGGAGAGTCGCAGCCGACACAAGTCGCTGGTTCGGCGCACGCGTACGTTTCTTGAAAGAATGCTCGACAAAAACTAAAAAAACAGACGAACGCTCAGCACCCGTCCGTCACGGCCCCAACTAAGACACACCCACAAAATATGAATCACCAAACAAAAGTGCGTTACGAAGGGCCATTGCCCGGAACGTCGTCTATTTTATATATGCATACACAGTGTAGGTACATTTCCTTTCAGGGCAGTGTAAATGGCGAATGTATGGAGTGTTTTTTTGTTGTTATCCCACACAAGCGAGGGTCATTTCCCGGAACGTCGACTATTAGGTATACGTTTCCTTTTCGTGGAGTGCAATTGGCCAATGTGTTGAGTTGCCCTGCGATTTGCGTCTTGTTGCACCCCGCTCCAACGCAGTATCACCACAACGTGCGTGTCAGAGCAATAGTGGGGAGTGGTAGTGTAGCGGTTAGCGCGCTGCGCTATGCCTGGTGCGGTCGGGCGTGGTGCTGGCCACCCACCCCATCGAGTGTGGTTCCGGCCTTCATAGGTGGTCGCTAACATCACTGACCCCAACAGTCTCTTGAGGTTGTAGGGGGTGATCTTTGTATTTTTAATGGGGGCACCGTGCGTATTGCACGTGTGTGTATATTAACGTATACTCAGAACTTACGGACGCATTACACCGATGTGCCGAGGCATATCACATTCATAAACCAACTGCGAGGGCATGGCAATTACGGTACAACGTCTTATTGTGCCAGACTGTGCAGATGGACTTCATATAAATACGATGTAGGCTGATGTGGCATGACTCAAGAGGCACAAGGAGCCGCAGAAAAGCAGGAAGGCAGCCACGTGGCGTGCCGGCAGCTAACAGCTGCCCCAAGCTCTGCCATCCTCTATACAGGAAGGGACTATGGGCCAATGAATGATGAGTGTTTACTTATGGTAGGAAACCAGAACACTCAGAGGAGCCCTACGCGTGCGAGGGGGCATCACTCTATGCGATACAGACGGAAAAAGCTTTAGGTCCACATTTTCTGCACCTCCTCGAAGCCGTAAAAAGGGAAGGGAGTTTCACAACATCTATGTGCGATCCACCAACCCTGGCTGCTGCCTCCACAATGCTGGGTTACAGGCCACGTGCGCGGCCACCACCGCGCGAAAAATGTCTCCATCATGATGGTGACCATGTCTAATCGCTGGGCCGTGCACGTCCTTGGAGGACACGTGGCATGTTGGGGTTTTAAATGACTTCCTGCGACAATCTGCGTGGATTAGTTCCATAAACGTCTCAAATTGTAATCGACCGATCGATTAACCGAATGAAAAACAACAGCAATATACATTGCCTGAACCTACCGACCCAGGAGCGAAAGTGAGATCTTAAATAGGCCTGCACATTAGGCTCAGAGAAACAACCGGACTTTGTCCTGACGCATCCCGACTCGAGTTTAAAGCGTTAACCGTGCTATTAGCGTTGTGTCTGTAGAGTGGAGGGGTGGGGGGAATCCAGACATCTCTCCTAAATATAATCCACTATACACGCAACGTTCGTATAAAGTTGTGTTGCTCCGAGTGACTTTCATCAGCAGCAGCAGCCACGGTCAATCTCACTGCTGGATGAAAGCCTCCCTCCCCACAGCCGCCAGGGACAAATTGTGCCGATTTGCATTCAGAAGGTAAACAACAGAAGGTAACCAGAAGGTAACCAATTCTCGCCGAGTGAATGAATTCCGAGGGAGAGCGCCACACGTGTTGGAAGAGCGTTACAAAAAAATGGCACGCGTAGGCACCGGTTTTCGTCATTGTTTAAAGACAGTCTCACACAACTAAATAATATTTTTTTTACCAGGTAAAGCTCACTGAGCTATGTAACTCTTTTTCAGAAGCGACCCGGCCGCAAATGACAGCTCAAATAAGTGGCTTATCGAGTGGCAATGTATCGCAGCCAAATACTCTCAACGCGTATTCCATAAACGTGGAGGAGAAAACGGCAGGGCACGGAGAAAATTCCACGCAACCACGGGGCGAGACAGAGAGAGAGAAAGAGACATGCAAGCTCCAAATAATATAACAGGCGTCAGGGTCGGGATGGAACACGACGACCTCCTGTGTACCAGGCGAGGGAATTCACATCTCGCCAGCGCGGCGCCCCAGTCACGTGTGCCGCTGGCCGCATATCGGTAAACTCCGGTATCCTCGGGACTCGCTCGCTCGATACGCGAGCGAATCAACACGCGGCGATTTACATCGACCTCGTGGCTGCGATAGACTGCGCTAGCGATAGCCTCGCCCGGCCGAGCGTTGTGTGGGCGACGAGCCGCACAGGTGAGGCTGCGACTCAGTGCGCGTGCTGTGCGCACCTTGGCGCCCTTGTACGCGCGGGGTTCAGTAGGGCACGCTCGTTAGCGAAACACGTGGACGCGAAGACAACGACCGGAAGGACGGAAGAAAGAAAAAAACACAGCCCGAGCACAGAAGAATTACGGGGGAAGAGAGGCGCGCGCACGGGGAGGCATTTGCGTCGGGAGACCGAAATAGCGATGGAGCAAAACGCGCGGTAATGACAATACGTCCACGTAGTTTACTCACCACCACCACCATCATCATCGTCATCATCGTCATCCAAGCTATTATAAGAAAACAAAGTCAACGGGCTTGGGCAGGACACGTCATGGCGGGAAGAGACGATGGTCGAGTATAACAACGGAATGGCAGCTAAAAGAACGTAACGCGCTCGGAGGAGAGAGAGAGTGAGGGGGTAGAGAGAGGGGGGGTAGAGAGGGGGGAGAGAGAGAGGGGGGCAGAGAGGGGGCTAGAGAGAGAGGGAAGGGGTAAGGAGAGCAGAGCGACATTTTTTGTTTGTTAAATCTTTCATTTAAAAGGGGGGAGGGGGGTTACATAAAGCAAAGCATTAACAAAAAACGATGAACGAAGCAAAGTGTCGACTCCACCGAGCATCTTCTTGTTTCCTCTGATCGTAAAACAAAGAGAGTGAGAGAGAGAGCGAGTCCCTCCACGCACGACGAGATGGAGCAAACGAGATCAGTTCGTGTGAGGCAGGCGCTCGGTGGATCGGTAACATCGCAGAATCGTGAGAGGCGCGCGGCAGCTTTGGAGACGTCTTCATCCAGCAGTGGATTGCCCACGGCCGATGATGACAATGACGAACAGCAGCGAGGTTTGTGCGGTGCTCAACAGCACTTAGCGAGACGCTGACCACAGAGGCGGTGGAAACAGGCTGGGGATATTGAACTCCGCCAGTCGGTTAGGTAATTTGTGAGAATATTAAAGTCTTGATGAATGGTTCACACGGTGACGTGGCGAAGCAGTGAAATGCTGTCGAATCGTGCGAGGTTGCTGTGGTTGCGTATCGACGTGTGGAGATATTCAAGTGGGATTCTACCACTCTCACCCTATCATCTCACTCCACTCCCCTCCGCGCACTCTCCCCACTCATCTCACTCTACTCCCCTCCACTCTCCCCACTCATCTCACTCCACTCCCCTCCACTCTCCCCACTCATCTCACTCCACTCCCCTCCACGCACTCTCCCCACTCATCTCACTCTACTCTCCTTCACTCTCCCCACTCATCTCACTCTGCTCCCCTCCACTCTCCCCCTCCCCTCCACTCTCCCCACTCATCTCACTCTGCTCCCCTCCACTCTCCCCACTCATCTCACTCTACTCTCCTCCACTCTCCCCACTCTACTCCCCTCCACTCTCCCCACTCATCTCACTCCACTCCCCTCCACGCACTCTCTCCACTCATCTCACTCTGCTCCCCTCCACTCTCCCCACTCATCTCACTCTGCTCCCCTCCACTCTCCCCACTCATCTCACTCTGCTCCCCTCCACTCTCCCCACTCATCTCACTCTACTCTCCTCCACTCTCCCCACTCTACTCCCCTCCACTCTCCCCACTCATCTCACTCCACTCCCCTCCACGCACTCTCTCCACTCATCTCACTCTGCTCCCCTCCACTCTCCCCACTCATCTCACTCTACTCCCCTCCACGCTCATCGCCCTCTGTTCTCTCCACACGCTCCAGCTCTATCCTGCCATCTCACTCCCTTCACGTTCTCTCCGATCCGCATTCGCTCAGTGGGGGATGTCACTGATTCTCCTCTGCCGGTCCCGAAATATAGAACTCCCTCCCCTGTCTTCAGTGCTGTCGACTCCCTGCCAACCTACCCACGCCCCCATGTTCAAGTCGAGGCAATCGTTCTGCCTATGACTGTCTCCTGTCCTCAACAGAAATAACGCCTCTGTGTGTGTAGGCATCAACATCATGCGCGTCACACTCTCTGCACATAGTCTTGCGATGCAGAGTTGTAATGCACACGCCGTATGAATCCACATGGCAATTGTATCCCTAATGACATTGTGTACCTAATGACATTGTGTCTCTAATGACATTGTGTCTCTAATGACATTGTGTACCTAATGACATTGTGCATTGTGCTACGTTGCGAGTGACCACCGAGCGGTGTTGCGGGCAACTAAAAAAACCGCGCTGCTGATGAGCACCGTGTGCGCGGTGACACCGGGGCACACCGATCATCGTGCCCATAACTCCCCCCCCCCCCCCCCAGTACCGAGAGCAGCGAATCCCAGAGAGAAGCAGCAGCAGGCGACACCCAGCAGCAGCAGCGGCGGCAGCGGCGGCACGCGGGGCTGCTCCATCCCGGCTCGCTCGCCCCGTCCCCGCGGAGCTGATGTGCCAACACGGGACACCACCTCGCTGGGCTGCTGCTGCCGATGTTGTTGTTGTTGCTGCTGCTGGTGGTGGTTGGCCGCTTCTCCGACCGAGGGAAGAAAGGTCCCGCCCAAAGAGCACGGATCCTCCTCGTCCCCTTCCCCAAAAGCCCTGCGCCTCCTCCTCCTCCTACTCCCTAGGTCACCTGCATCGCCGCGAGCATGACTCTGTGCAGCGCGCCCTGAGCGTAGCGCTCCGATGTGGCGGAGTTGCGAGAGGGAATGAGGAGGAGGAGGGAGGAGGAGGAGAGGCAGAAGGCTGAGAGCAGCGCGAGGGAAGGGGGAGGAGGGAGAGCGGGAAAATAGAGAGAGGGGTGGTGGGGTGAGAGGGGGGAGAGTGGGAGGGGGTTGGGCGAGTTAGCGAGAGAGAGAGAGAGCGGGCGATGTATGAGAGATGGAGGGAGAGCGTGAGAGAGTGAGAGAGTGAGGCAGAGGGTAGAGAGAGTGGAGAGAGAGAGAGTCGGAGGGAGAGCTGAGATGGAGCGGGAGGAGAGAGGCAGAGTGGTGGAGCTGGGAGAGTTAGCGAGGCAGAAGAGAGATGGAAGGAGAGAGAACGCTGCAAGTAGAACAGAGTGAGCGAGAGACGGAGACAATCCCCTCGCTGCCGCTACAGGCTGTGAGCGTCTGCACTGAGCAGTGAACAGAGCATGGCAAGGGGATATGGGCAAGCGCAGGGGGTGGGCGAGGAGCCGACTCGGGGCTGGCTCGCCAGTGTTCAATCTGGAGGTAATTTGTTCGAGTCGATCTACACCGCAGGCAATTATGATCTTGCAATATATCCAACATCTTTTTTTCTAACTCGTGTGATGCGGTTGCTTTTTGTTCTGATGTTTTTGTTATTTTTGCTTTTTGTCATTTTGACGACCAAAGTGACTCGATCGTCGACTCTTGAGTTCTCATCTGGTAAAAAAAAAAATTCTTAGCGAGTTGGTTCGGGCTTTTATCGCAGTGTCTGATTGACAAGTTGACTATGGTTAGACGTCGGGTTAGTATTGGGGATGGTGATTGTGGGGAGCGGTGGTGTAGCGGTTAGCGCACTGCGCTATGAACCCGGCCACCCGAGTTCGATTCCCGCTCACGACCAACACCAGTGACGATTATCTGAACCGGTCATGGGCCACCCCTAGGTCGACTCAGCCTAAAATGAGTGCCTGGTGTGGTGTAAACATCACCACTGGGGAGATAAAGGCGGCCGGGCGTGGTGTTGGCCACCCACCCCATCGTGTGCCGTGCCGGCCTTCGTAGGTGCTCGCTAACAGCACTTGCCCCAACAGTCTGTCAAGGCTACACGGGGGTATCTTTGTCATTTGTGAAGTGTTGTTGATTGTGGGGGTGTCGGTGATGGCAGGGAGCGGTGGCACAGCGGTTAGCGCCACGAGCCCGGCAACTCGAGTTCGATTCCCGCTCACGGCCACTGACACCTGTCCCGATGATCTGGACTAGCCATGGGCCTCCCCTAGGTCGACTCAGCCTCATACGAGTACCTGGTGCGGCGAGGTTTGAACGTTGCGGCACCAGGGATGCAAAGGCGGTTGGGATTGGTGCTGGCTTCCAAACCCTTGTTCGTGTGCCGTGCCGGCCCATTTCATTAGGTGCTTACTAAAATTGAATTCCCCAACAGTCTGTTAAGGCTATACGGGGGAACTTTGCCTTTGGTGGTGATGGTAGTGGGATGACGATAGTGTTGGCGTGCGGGTGGTGATGTACGTTGAACTTCTTTCGCACCTTACGTAGCCAACCTTGCTAATGTGGTGGTAGTGGGGGGTGTAATTCTGGCGATGGTGGTGGACGACGACAATGACGGTGGTGGTGGTAGTGGCTGCTGCTCTGATAGGGCAGTGCCTCTGCGTGCCACGCGAGGATGAATCGAGAGCGCGCCCTCTCCCTCTCCCTCCCTCTCTCTCCTCTCGCGCTTAATCGTCGGCTCCTGTGCAGCGACAGAGGAAGTACCACGCACAGCAGCCCACTCGCAAGCGTCGCATTGTCCACTGCGCGTGTCCACTCTGCGTGCAAGAAGACCCAAGGCTGCAGCTGCCCAAACTGCAGACTCCACGCAATGCTTAAACATACACCCCACAGAGATATATATGAACTCATATTCGTCACTAACAAAAATGAAAAAAATAATTATAGACGTTTCAGGCAATGGCCCTTCTTCATAGCACATACATAGCGAGCCCAGAGAGCTGGTGGCTGATACGCGTTGGATACTGCACGACCGTGGTTCTCTGACATTTGTAACAACGATTTTTGATGACCTCGTTTTTTTTTAAAATTGGCATATCAATAGTTACACTAACAGTAGATACAGTATTGAGAAATATAAAAAACCTTAAGTAGATCAAGAAATGTTGTGATGAAATACACGAATGTTATATTACATTTTTTATTTTATTTTGCCGGTACATTGCATTGTGGAAGATTTGTTAGTGTGAGTGCAAGGCACAACACGCTGCATAGTTTATATTTACAACCAAATACATCATCCTGATTAATGGACCCGATCTTGGGGCCTTTTTACCAGTATCAAAGTATTAAAAAAAACAAAATAGGGTTTTACCCTTTCTGGCCATGAAACAGGGGGTGTTAAAATGTTCAAACAACAAATATAAACCTTGGCAAGGGATCAAGTCTGCAATAACCACACACAGTACTTGAGGTGAACATGCAAACAAACATGCTCTGGTCATTATTATATGCGCGTTGTCTTTGAAACCGATTGGTCTACACTAGAGACATCCTTCTTTAGGGCCTGGTCTCAGCATGCTTGTTTGCATGTTCATCACAAGTGTAGGGGTGTTGTGGGAAGGAAACACACAGTGTGGGAAGGTAACACACAGCCACACCTTGGTGGCTACAACCACGTCCGCTATAGCCCCGCCCTCAGTAATGTATGGGTATAAAGGGCGGGGAGCCAGAGAGCTCGGGGCAGTTTGTTGGGGCCAAGAATAAAGAACCAGTGAAGAAGGAAGACCGGCTAGATAGACCCTAGGACTTCCCTGACCGCTGTCCTTTTAAGGGCTGGCAGGGTAAGCCGGTGGTGCGGCCCCAGAGCCGGAGCCCTTTTAAGGGTCGGTCTGGTTGGTGGGGTGCCGTGATCTGTGCTTGACCAGGGCCAGATCAGATAGCCTCCTCTAGCGCCTGTAGCTGGAGGAACTGGGAGCACAGGAATTAGGCTAGATAGCCTAGGGGGTGTCCCAGCGTGTATATGGGTGAAGGGGCCGTTACCCCTTCCGGTGTAACCCTTGTTAAGTTGAATAAACATTGCTGCCTCTACTCCACCGTCTCCGTGTCCCGTGAACCCACTACACAAGTACTGTGTGTGGTTAATGGAGACTTGATTCCTTGCAAAAGGTTCCTTTTTGGTGTCTGAACATCTGAACACCTGTTATATTTCCAGAAAGGGTAAAAGCTAATCCTGTGTTTTTTCGTACCGGATCTTGTCACATTCTCTGCAGCTAAGCAGAAGTGAGCCTGTTTAGTACGAGGATGGGATTGTTAGAGCCTAACTTTAAGGACATATGTCGGGAAACTTACCTTCCCCGAGTCCTTTATTACGAGAAATTGCAAACGTTTGTGCGTTCGAATCAGGAAAATAAATACAGTGATAATAATACAAGACGCCACTGCTGTGAATGCATAAACTTGTTTAACGTAAATATTACTTAAATAAAGTGTGTTTACACAATTCCAGTCGTTGCCAAAAATATATTTTACACACGCACACTCGTCACCTGGCACCACGCCGGTGTACTTTGCTTTACAGATCACGAACAACTTCCACTCTCTGGTGTCTGCGACGACGGCGGCAGCTGCCTTTCTCGAGCTCTGCCACTTTACTTTGCCCCCCTCTCTCCACTTCCCCTTCTTCCTCCATCCTCTCTCCCATTCACTATCAACCATCCCCATCCCACGCCACACACGCCACATACCTCCTTGTTAAAAGGACGACTGCCCCCCTCCACGTGCACCTCGCAAGTCGTCAACAACCGTCGTTAGAGCCACGAGGCGGAGGTGATTGTCACCACGGCGCTCGTGCCAGGCTAGGTGCACTTTAAGGCCACGTGAAGAGTCGAAGGCCCGCTGGCAGGTCACAGAAACAGACCCGGGTGCCATCGAGTTGACCGAGATGACTGGCAGATGCACCAACTGTGCTCTCCGCTGTGCCAATTTATTGAGCCTCTATATCCCCGTGTCTCTTGCGTCATTGTCAACCTCATTCTGCCTTGAAGTGCTGCCCCTATCGGCTACGGCACACGTGACACCTCCAAATAAGTGCGCTGACGTCACAACACCCATCAAATCTCATTCCACCATTACGCTTCAAGGCCACCTGAATTATTTAACACATTTTTATACAATTCCTGCTGTATAATTAACTGTGTTGTTAATGCACTTAATGTCCACTTGTGTTCATAACAGGAGAATACCACGTGTGGCAGGCTTGGGCTGTGAGGAGCCCAGGAGATGGCGGTGCAGCAATGGATTCATGAATCTATCTGTGCGTGACTTTTAGTGTTGCCCGCCTCCAATGTGTAGCGACTCCGACGCACCTTTCGTGCTCTACTAAGAGCCTTTGCTGTGGACACCAACGCTGTCCCTGAGTCCAAGGTGTTCGATTGTTGACGCCGGAGCTTCGTCTTCTCTCCAACCGCCCCCTTCCGTCTCGTGCTCTCCGCCTTTTATATTCCTCGAGGCCCCCTTTCTCGAAGGTTCGCTCACCCTCATATTTCCCTCCGCCAATCCTCGTGCTCCTTCTCTGACGGTTGTCAACCGTTACCCCCCGACAGTCCAGCCTCGTTTCCCCGCCTCTTCACTTTGCATTTCTCTTCCAGTCAGCTCAAGTCTCCGGCCGTAACAAATCTCCTTTGAGGCCTCCCTGCACAAATCAGAGGCCCCCTAACACACTGCTTTGACTGTCCGTCTTCACGCGTACCCCGTCAGGCAAGCGGTCGGTCTATTGTCTCGGACTTTACAAATGCTTGTTGTTGTGGGGGGTTTTTTGTGGGGGGAAAAATGTAAATAAATTGGCCAAACAACTGAGTAAACGACTTTGATAAAGTGTATTCTCCTATATCGGTGATTCTTATTCTTAACCCGGGGTGCACGTTGCACCCGCTGGGAGTGCGAGATGCCCTTTCTGGGGGGGGGGGGGGGGGGGGGGGGGGGGGGGGTGCGAGACACGGCCACATTTCTTTAGAAGGTAAATCATCGAAACACAAATTAAGCACCGGCACGTAAGTACAACTTACCTTGTTTCATCAAACCTTGTGTAGTTAA